GCTCTTCTGAGTCTTTTCTCAAACAATGATATCTTTAGGTCTCAGAATTTTGGCAATTCTCATTTCTGGATCACCTCTGTTCCTGCTTATCATCATGATAAAGCACCGCAGTGTCTAGGTCATCACTAAGCTCAGGAAGTTACCCTTGGAGTAAAAAGCTCTTTCATATTCTTCCTATAGGTAAATCCATGCTTTTCATACATTTATTTTTTATAAGATCACAGAACATCAGAACATAGAACCTTAAGAGACATTACGGGTCTTCTAATTTTTCCATATCCCTTTTTTTCAGATGAAGAAACAAAGGGTTAAATAAGTCAATTAGCTTGCCCAAGTTTATATAGCTATTTGATATCTCTTGTTTTTATATCTGCTGACTCAATACTAACAAATATATTTTAAAAAACAAATATATTAACAAACAAAGTTATATAGAAGTTCTGTGTTTTTAATAAGGCATGATTCATTGCAACATTATTCAAGTGTATTTAAACTATTTAACTTGAAGACATCAAAATAGCAAGAACCTTTTTGTGTATTATGGAGACACTTATTTTAGTTCTTCTCTTCTGCTCTGATGATGTAATTTTCCTGAGAACTATGGGGACAAACACCTCTTCACTCTCACCCCATCCCAACCTGATAGAATATTAATTCCCTGGGGACAAAAAAAAAAATTAGTAGAGAATCTGTGCAGGTACATCCAGAGTCTAGTTGAGCCACTAGAGACTTAATCAAGCCTCTTGAGATAAAATCTCAATGTTCCTGCAACTATTTAGTTTTAAAACATGGTGTCTCCTTGACCCAAGACCCTCTTTGACTGTGACTATACAGTGTAAATGGAAAGTCTTACTTCCTGATGTGCAACAATTGATTACGTCAAACATTAAAATAACTTCAATAAAGTAAGATGTTTAGTCCTCCGTCTTGCAAAGTTTTCAGATCAACTGGGTCAATAGCATCTCTGTAGCAAGATGAAGGAAGTGACTTCCAATGCTGAAGACAAATCCACCAGTTTTTTTTTAAAGATAGAAATGTTGAAGTGTGCTCAGAAAATGATATGTAGTCTCAGACTATTTTGATAGCCTATTGCAAGCAAGCAAACTGAAAGTGTTTTTTGAGATTCTATGTATATCTACATAATTATAATATAGAATTATAGTACATAATATATAATTATAATATCATTATATATGATATATTTGTAGATTATTTTCATGTTAAGTTGAGCACAAATATTATTATTTTCATTTATTCTATAGATAAAGTAATTCAAAGTGAGTGTAAAATACAAAACCAAGAAATACTGGTAGTAATTTGAGTATGACAGCAATATAGAAAAAGAGTGGTGGGATAAAAAGTCTACAGTACACATGAAGAAAATATACAGTGCTTACTAATGTCAATATCTGGGCAGCCTCTGTTCAAAATATTTTCAAAATATTGGCAACCAACATTTATAGACACTCATTTTGTACTTCTGCTTTAGTAACTAAGCTGGTGAAAGAATATTTCCTCTAGGAAGTGAAATTGGTTTAAGTGACAGTAACATTTGCCAAAACAATAAATTTATGTATAAATAATACCAGTGGATTATCTGGTTTTATGGATCAGTTAATCATATCTTTTGTTATTGAGATTAAAACAAATTAAATATTTAAATGTTCTACAATATCTTGAGAAAAGATTTATCTAGAACTATCACTGTTAACTGCTATTTTAATGGATTTTTCCATTTTACAATTATATAACAATTCTCACAACAAAATGTGCAAATGAAAAAATTATTTTATTTTTCAGGTTTCCACTACTTCATAAACAGTTACTGCCACTCGAACAGCCCTTTTTGCAAGCTTTAAAAGTTCATTGGTTGAAAACAACACAGAAAAAGGAACAAAGACAGTATGAATAAGGCTGTTATCTCTCAGCTTACTCACAGTGCTTCGTTCACCCTCATTCTAATTCTATAAAGGAAATTTTTTTCTAGTGCCCCCAGAGAAGACTGATATATGTAAGACTGAAGATTAATATATATTAAAATATTACATATTTGAATATATATTTATTCAATGAAAAATCTAAATTTGTAGGAAGTCCCAGATTTCTAAAAATTAATTACTCAGCTTGCTGGAAGTTAGTTACTTATTTGAGATTTGTTCAGAAAACAAGGAAGAGTGAATTTGCAAGCCAGCTGATTTTTCTACCTTATATCATCAACTAAGTGAATTTCAAGGAGTCCTTCCATTTATATGAAAACATTTGAGTTATTTTTTCTATTTAAAAGGGGTAAGAGCTCATGTGCTGTAGGTGTTCCTCAGGCTTATATTCAAACTTCCTGATTCCATAGCAAGTAAACACAGGTTATGACTACCAGTGTTCAACCTAACTGAAAAAAAAAATGTAAATTTTGGGGCATCCCTTTATACCTTGATATTGTGTTTTAAGAATCATGTCTTTTCTTACTTGTCTATCTGATTCTTCTTTGCTGCTATTTACCAGAAGTATGAAGATGCGGACAATATGTTGATTTTTAAAAAGCTACCACAAATTACAAAAGGAAGTGTTAAGTATCTATCTATCACTTGTGTGTTTTTTGGGTTCACCCTACAAGAAGACTATGTGTGGCAATGGATTCCCCTAAAGCCAAAGCCATTTCCCTGTTCCTCACAATTCAGCACATTCATGCTTGGTTACCCTTTCAAGAGACATGGGGCCTGGGGTTGACCACCTTTTTTTCTCCCTGTGTGCTGTGGATGCACTGCTGACATCTTCACTTCCTCTCCAGTCAATTGTCTTCTTCCTAAGCCATGGTTTCTGGAGAGAACACAGTCCACATAGATGTCCCAGAAGAGTTGGGCCAGATCCCAAAACAATGCCCCATGCTGCAAGTTTTCAGATGACTTCAGGTAGATCATAAAATCCCAGAAACCTGAAACAGTGTTAGAGATTCGAGGCTTCCGCATTTCCAGGAGGAGCACTGAAGAAGATTCCCAGCACTGACGATCAGCTTGGTTAAGAGCCAGCAGATCTGTCTGGCTATGACAAAAGAAAGGAGACACACAGCACATTCCCACAATGAGCAGGGAGCAGGTGAGACTCAAGGGGTGGTAGATCCTTCCTCTGCTTCCAGGATCAGCCATGACCTTGAAACTGCACAAGATGGAAATATTTCATATGAGTCCCTACTTGTGCTCTACTCAGTAAAGAAAATAATTATGTCCTTTAAGAACTGTGGTGCCAGCAATGGAAACATACCAGTATCTCTAGGAAAAGTCTTAGCCTACCTCCCACAAGCCCCAGTCTATCTAAAATGATGCATTGTCAAGCCAGGTAGCCTGAAACAATGATATTTAGATTAAGAAAGATTTACTCCTAACAAATGCTCCTTTGTAAGATAAATAAAGCTGTTTTTCCCCAGTACTGAGAAATGTAGTTTAAGGGAGTATTAAGTGAAATTTTTCAGTCTTGCTACATGGCTTTATTATTCCATAATACCATAATTTAGCCTAGCTATCCTAAACTAAGACTCCGAAGCAATTAAGAATTTGAACATATTTTACCTTTGAATGCTTTCTTATTCTGGTTCCTTTCATTATTAAAAAAGGTATATGAATTGTAAAATGTTATAAATAAAAATGAATACAAGACAGTGTGTTAAAAGTATGGGATATATACTTATCTATATACTTATAGAATATATACACATATATATTCAACCCATTAGAATAGAATTAATAAACAAATATTGTAAAATTTATTTTACAAACATCTAAAATGTTCTGCAATTTTTACATAATTTTCACAAAAATGATATTTTCTCATTTTTCTCTTCTTGCTATAAATCTCAAGTATTTTAACAAAAATTATTTGTCCCTTGTTCAACTTTTCTGGCTTTCAAAGCCTGTTGCAATAAAACCAAGACATCCCTACACACTTTGAAAATACTTTTAACTTGAAGTTAAAAGTTAACTTGTCTGAGACAAGCCCAATGAGAAATGATGTACTTAACATAATAATTTGTCCCTGAAAATGGCTTATCTGAATCTTCACAGACTATATCACACTTAAACAATCCTAAAGAAAAAGCAGGAGATTATATACAGCTCACTTTCACTTTTATCTTATATTTCCAAATCTTTTAGATGTTAGTATAATGAAGGCAAGCCAGGCACAGCTCATGGGACTACTCTTGAGGATATGTCTATATTAGAATACTTAATGATAACACCATAAGATGAATCTTTCTTTTCTGTACAACAGCAAAACATGTTGTTTAGTCACTAAGTCTTATCCGACTTTTTATGATCCCATAGACTGTAGCCCGCCATGCTCCTCTGACCATGGAATTTCTCAGGGGCAAGAATACTGGAGTGGGTTGTCATTTCTTTCTCCAGGGGATCTCCTTTAAATCAATATTTCAGAAACTGTCTTTGAATAGACACATTCTTGAAGAGGCATATTGAGATACAAGGCTATTCAGAAACATTTCCTCTGTATTTCAGATTATTTACACAGGATATTGGCATGAACAAAATCAAGCTCTTCTGAACCAAAATACTAAAGTCGAGGAGATGCAAAGTTAATTTTTCCTTAGTCAAAACTGTGTGTCTATGCTAAGTTTATCAGAAGACCGGGGCGGGACACTGTCCAGGGTGCTGAAGTCGGCGAGTCCTGGATTCGCTGTCTGCTAGCGCCACAGCGCTCACCTCGGCTTCTTCGGGCTCCCTTCCCTTTCGAGTCTTCCCCGAGCCTTGAAGTTCCCCAACCCCGGGGCCCCGCGTGTGTCTTGCTACAAGCCTCGCGGTGTGCTCCCCACGTCTCGATCCTGAGCCTGGTTCTACCGTCTCTCCCTCCTCAGGGCGGAGCTGCCTGGGACGCTCGCCCTCTTGTGCCCCTTGAGACTCCTTACTTCGCGGCTTTACTCCCAGGGGGCAGAAGGGCGCCCCTCCTCACTTACCTTTTCAGCACTCTCTGGATTCCTCGGAGTGCGTGGAGAGGAAATGCTCAGACTGCTCCCCGAGCAAGCGACGGTCCCCCGCTTCGGCGTCCTGGCGGCCACGGTGTCTCTTCTTAAGCAGTGGGAGTGCTCGGCGCCTCTTCAAGTCTACGTCAAAACGCCCCGGGAAACGGCCGGCACCTCTCGCCCCCAATTCCATCTCCCACACCCTCTTCTTCTCTCCCTCCCCTTAAGATTTCGCTTCAGGAAACCAGCAGGCTTAGCGGCACACACTTCGTTGACTCTGACCCACACCCACCCTGCACCAGCTCAGTTGAGCGTTTGTGCGATTGGCTTCCGGGTCCCACCTTGGGAGGCGAAACTCGGTCGGCCGAAACTGGAAAGTTGCGACCCAGTTCCGCTCCCGCCTAGGAGCGAGTGGGGCTCCCCAGATCTCTACTCTCCAGACGTGCCTTGTTTGAGAATAAAGTGATGGCAGGGAAGACCCAGGACCCCTAGGGTGGGAGAATGCTCTTCGGCGCCCGCCCAGGTGTCAGTAAGGGCTCAGAGGAGAGGAAGGTGCCTCAGGGAGATGCCCTGAGTGTGAATATCTCCTGCTGGCCTGTGGTCCTGGGCTGCGAAAAGAAACACACTCTTGGGGCAAGAATGTGGGTGTGGACAAGTTGCCACTGGAAGCTCCCTTTGACCAGTGACAGGAGACCTGCAGTCTCCAGGCTCTGTGTCTTGGATCACCCCAGGAACCCAGGATTGCTGCTGGTATTGCTTGTGTCAACACTCTGCTTCAGATTTCACAGAGGGGGTCCTGGCTTTCCAAGAAGAGGAGATGTCTGGGATTCTCTTTGGTTTTCAACTCAAAGCTAGTTAATATCCTAGTCAGACCTGTCACCTTTTAGGGACTCTGCTGAGCTTTAGGGCCCACCCTAAATGAAATACATCCAGACCAGGAGCCCAAGGCAAAGGTCTTAACTTTGTCAGTGTTTCCAGGCTTTTTCCCTTCACCCCAAAACTCTCTAGGCATCCTGAAAACCACTTGTAGCCTCAACTAACTGAAGGCTTTTGTGCCAGCTCAAAACCAGTATCCATGGTTACCTTCCAGAGGGGCACAGGGTGGAACCCAGGCTTATAGCAAAGTTTACCAAAGACAAGAGGAATGTTCCCCTCTACCCGAGTGATAGGAATCAAGAGCTCTCGAAAGGATTCCTGAGGGGTTCTGGACTGTTTCTCCTCCTTTGAAATTAATTTCTCAATCTGTGAACCAGGCATACTAATGTTTGTTTCTATTGATCTTCTGAGGAAGTTAGAAGAGGTCATAAGTGAAGGCTTCAATTTGCTTCCTGAATTTCAAGGAGCTCTTGGCTTCTTGGAGAAAATAATTAGAGAAGCATAGTGTGTGAGCATAAGGGACAGCGACCGGCATGGGAGAACCCTGAGAAAGGAAAGGGGAAATGAAGGAGCAGAGATGGCATCTTTGAGGGAGTGACTGGTGAGCTTCTTAGAGAGGAGTTATACAGGTGTCCTGGAGCCACTGGGGTGGGAGATGGTCTCCTCCAGGCAGAGAACTTAGCATGAGCAAAGGCATGGAGGGACTGCTCAAAGAAATTCTGTGCTTTGGGGGAGCAGAGTCAAGGGAAGGAGTGTAGAAAGAGAAAGGAGAACCGAGGTAAGGATGTGGAAGGTTAATTCTGGTTTTAGACATCTTGAAAGTCACATTACCATTGAAAATATTGGTGTGTAATAAATAGGCAGTGCTTACTTTATTTTCAAGTGCCTATATGTCAGATACTATTCTAGATGCTGTGTACACAGAAGGAGCAAAACAAAATCCTTATACTCATAGAACTTACACTGTAGTGGTGGTGGGAGAGGAAAATTTACATCTTAATTTAAAAATTAAATATATAATGATCTGTGTTTCTAGTTTCTATGTTAAGTGATGAGCTTATAGCTATGCATCAAAAACAAACAGACAACTGGCTAATTAAATAAACAAATATGCCATGAGTCAATAATACGAGTTTAGTATCCTAAAACCCAAGGAAAAAGTATATGTGTAATATGTCAGTGATGATAAGAAAAAACAAAAAGTCACCAATAAAAAGTAAAGTGGGACTAGGAAAGGATGATGGGGAAGAGTTATTTTATATAGAATACTGAGAAGTCCTTCCTGATAAGAGATAGTTACCTAAAGATTTATTAACATGAAAGAGTCATGCACATACATGTGACAGAATGCTCCAGGAGGAACATAAGGGAAGCATAATGGCCTTGGAACATATGTGGTGTCATAAAAGTGTTTTCTGGGTACAGTGGCAGGAGATAAGGTCAGAAAGGTGGCCAGGAATCCACTCCGGTTGCTCAATAGAGAAGAGACTAGAGGGGAGCAACGACAGAAGCAGAGAGTCCGAGTAGAAGTTACTGAAATAATCCAGATGAGATGTGCTAGCAGCTTAGAGAAGGATGCGTGTGTGCATGCTAAGGTGCTTTAGTTGTGTCAAACTCTGAGACACTGTGGACTGGCGCCCTTCAGGCTCCTCTGCCCATGGGGTTCTCCAGGCACGAATACTGGAGTGGGTTGCCATGCCCTCCTCCAGGTACATAAGGATGGCAGCAGCGCAACTGGTGAAAGTGATCAGACCCTGAATATATTCTGATGATAGAAAGGACAGGATTTATTGATAGATTGGATGTAGTGTACAAGAAAAAAATTCAAGATGATGCCACATTTTGGGCACTCAGCAAATGGAAGATTGGAACCACGAGTTAAAACAGAAAAAATGGTTTGAGGAGTAAGTTTGGGGAGGAGGACTCAAGAATTTGCTTTTCTACAGGGATATATTTACAGCACAGGAAATGGAGCCAATATTTTATAGTTACTTTAAATGGACTGTAATCTATGAACATTTTGAACCACCATATTGTACATCTAAAATTCATATAATACTGTAAATTAGCCATACTCCAATTGAAAAAAATAATTTGCTTTTCAACATGTTAAGTTTGAGATGAGTGACATCCAAATGGATAGGCTGAACAGGCAAGGAAGAAGAGGGGACTGAAGATGTATACTTATCTAGCACTTGGGGTGGGGGGGGGAATGTCTAGATTTGGGATTTTGTCAACCTATGGGCAATAATTAAAAACCTCATAAGCTTAATTGTACTAAAGTGGGTACAATAGTAGCCTAAGGAGAGGACCTGGAAAATGCCAATATTTAAGTGATTAAGAAAAAGAGTTAAGAGAAACAGGGGAATGTGGTGCCTTGGAAACCAATGAGATTAAGATTTTCATGAAGAGTGAAGGAATAAACCACAGCACACAGATTTAGAAAAGGGGGTCAATCAAATGAAGACAAAGCAATTTCCATTGGAAAATAGAAGATCACCAAATTGCTCATTGAGAGACATTCTGACTGAGGTTGTGGGGAGAAGTGGTGAGCTGAGGCAGAAAAGAAAAGCAAGGAAATGCAGACAGTCCCCAGGAAGCACTTTCTATGAAGTTTAGAATAGAAGGGGAAGAATTGGAACAGGAGGCGAGTGTTGGGTCTTAGTCATGTTTACAGGCTGAGGCAGAGAGGCCCACAGAAAAGGAGGAGTTGAAATTCAAAGGTGAACAACTAGCAATCTCAGAAGATACAGAAGCAATAGGATAAGGGAATAAGGAGGAGCCAGCATTTCATAGAAAGGATAGCTTGCTCTCTGAACAAGGAGAAAGAAAGGCTCCCTCTGGCTATGGATACATTTGTGTATAGCATTTAGACGAAGGAACAGGAGTTGAGAGAGATGATGGGGAGCAGTCTCAATTTTCTTAATGAAGTAAGGTCCATAATCATTATTAAAAAAATTAACAGGAAGACATATTAAGTAAGGAAATTAAGATTCTTTACCAACTGAGCTACCAATCTGTACTATGATAATAATAAGTATAATAAGATAATGAATTGAAATGGTTACTCAGCTTTATAGCAGCTGACAGTGGGTGACATTGCATCACAACCAGAAAGACTAGGACAACTCTTGCCAATGGGAGCTAAGACTTTAAAAATAAATATTTCTAAAAGCCTAGTTATTGTCTGCTCATATACTTTTTCGTTTTCAAAATAATTACTTGGAACTGGAAGTTTTGACCTTCAGTAAAATTTTTTATAGTGCCAGAATGGAAACATTTCTCATTTAAGAGTTTACCAACTTACACTTGAAATTTAAGTAGTCATCTTATGAATATTTTTCTTTAGAAGATTCTAATAGCTATATACTCTGTTGTATACATACATTTATAACTTCCTTGGTTAGGGCAATTTAGAGAGATTCTTTGGAAAGAAATATGTATCTCTAATCTAAAACTTACTAACAATTGCAAGAGGAAAGTGTCACACTAATTCTTATACTTCAGTTATAAGAAAGCCACCATCAAATCATTTGAATGAAACATTTAATACTCTGTTAAACATATACGGATACTTAGTTTGATATCTTATTCCCGTGGTTTTATTTCCACAGACTAGATGCTCTCTAACGATGACACACATTTGATCAGCATCTCCATTTTATAGAACGTTATTTTCATTATACATGGTCTCACATTTTACTCTCTTTTTCTCCAGTTTGCTGTCAAGGGATTTTCCTTGAGTCAGTCAGTTTGTAAGAATTAGAACATGGTTCTGTTTCCAAAGCTTAGCTTTATTCACTGACATTTACCTATCCTAAACAGCATGCTTACACAAACATAGAGACTCACTCTATTCTCTTCACAGTTATCTATCCTTATTGCTCTATTGGCTCCCCCAAAACAAGCATATGGCAGGTACAACTTACAGAGAGAATAATTTTCACAAGTTATATCTGGAATCAATCCATTACATCACCATTCTGACTGATTAAAAAATGTATGGGAAACCAATGGGTCATTTAAAATTACATGATGCTAAATAACTGGCTTGACTGGCATTTGTTATCCAGAGAGTCGTTTCAGTTTTGTGCAGTTGCAGCCCAGGGCGAGAGAATGACTAGTGGAAAAGTAAATTGCAATTAGCTGAATATGCCCCATGGGCAGATTTGCTGATTTTTGCCACTTGAAGCAATTCTCAAAGACATTAAAAAGGACTTCCGATTAATTTTAATGAAATTTGAGAGCAGTTATATAGATAGTTTGCATTTTCAGCAGTGCATTAATTTGCAAATGATGGGGCCAGCCTTTAAGAATAGGATGTTTCTTTAACATTTAGGGTCAGATAGTAAAAATAATTACTTTCTCTCACTTTTTTATGCTTTTCCATCATTTGAAGGTGGCAATAAACAAGAACAATTTCTTGGAATGCCCATTGGGGTAAGTGGATGAGTCAGTTTTAAAGTGTCATCAAATTGCTAAGGTCAAGTTGAAGTAAAGTAGTCAGATGATATTGGACGTTGATTCTAAAATGTGCAGAAAAGGAAAGTTACTCAGGGATACAAGAATGGCTCATTCATATTCCTTCCT